TTTTTTTTTGTTGAGACAGAGTCTAGCTCAATCGCCAGGCTGGAGTGCAGTGGCCGGATCCTAGCTCACTGCAACTTCCGTTTTCTGGTTTCAAGCAATTCTCTTGCCTCAGCCTCCCGAGTAGCTGGGACTACAGGCATGCACCACCACAACCGGCTAATTTTTTGTACTTTTAGTAGAGACAGGGTTTCACCATGTTGGCCAGGATGGTCTCGATCTCTTGACCTTGTGATCCGCCCACCTCGGCCTCCCAAAGTGCTGGGATTACAGGCGTGAGCCACGGCGCCCAGCCCCTCCCATGCTTCTTAGACAGTGAACCTGCACCTAGCAAGTTTTCCTTGTGCAGTTAGATCCTGTTTTTGATTTCTCACCAGCTCATCCAAATTTTGAATCACCAGTAAATGTGCCTGTAGCTGTGTACAATCATGTTGACTCTCTTTCCACGTTTTAAAAGAAGTTGAAAAACAATAACATTTCCCTTGGTTCAACAGCCAGTCATTTGGGCACAAATAATTATGTCCTGAAGAAAACATAGGGGAAAATTAATTAAACTTTATAGCCAATTGGGAAGATATAAGTATTATCAAATATGATTTCTTGGAAAATAGATTTTTCCAACTTATTTTTTATCATGAAAAAAGCAGTTCTATAAAATAAGAATAATTTACTAACCTATGTCCTGGAATTGGACAGGGTTTTGGATGATGGAGTAGGGAGAACAAAGTTTGTGGATTCTGATCCCCATAATCGGAGGAAGCAAATTATAACATTTTTGACAGTTAATTACCAACTGAAAAAGTAAAAGCTTATTGTTTAATTTTCTTCCACTATCTGGTTCTAAGTCCTTTGACATTTCAAGATTGTCTTTGCAACCTGTATTTCATGTCTGTGAGATTACTTACAATTACTGATGTCATTGTAAGTAAGAGATTACTTACAATTACTTACAATTACTGATGGGCACTTATTCTCCTGTGCTTTTCATTCATACTGTTACCTTAGCCTTGAATAGCCTCCTCTTCCTTCTTTACCTGCTAACTTTTTCTTTAATGTACAATTATATTCCCACCTTAAAAAGGAAGCCTTGAACCAGTCAATTTCTGCTGTCTGTAAAACTCAGCACTTAGGTATCATAAATGATATTTTTGCTAAAGCAAAGGACAAATAGTTTACATACTAGTCACTTGTAAACATCTCCATATCTTCCACATGATTGAAAGGCTTGTGAGGTGAGACTGTCACATTCATCTTTGAATCTCTTATCATTCAACACTTTGTATGTAATAAACAATTGTTGTTGAATGTTGAATGGTTGGATTAAATATTTTAAGTTAAAGCATGTAATATTTTCATTGTTAATATTTTAGTATGTCAACTATAAGCCTAAAATTTTATTTAAAAATTAATTTTGGAAATTAAATTATATGTCCAGCCAAGCTTAAAAAAGTAACCTGAGCAGGTATAACTTGAAGAAGGTTATTATGACCTAAATTTACATTTATGAAACTTCGTATATATTCTTAACTCATTAATACATGCTATATCGGGGCCAGTGTTGCCAATGCTGAAAATATTATCATTTAGAAAAATTGTGAAAAGATTCAGGATAACTGAATTGTAATTTCAGTTGTACAAATACATAGTTGTTTGCTAAAAGGTATAAAATGACCTCTAATATACCTCTCAAGTTACGATTTGAGAGGGGATATTTATTCATGATTATTAATGAGAAGGTGTCATTTAAATGAAGTAATTTTATTATGTAGATATTGACAGACTGGTCAATGAAGTATGACTGCAGTGCTGCAAAACACAATAAAAATACTCCAAATGATCAGTGTAACATGACGTGGACGCTAACTGTCCAAAAGAGTTATTGTAGGTAACTCAGCTTGAAGTGCTATCTTCTCTAAGAAGAAGAAATACAGGATGAAAATAGAGAAAAGTATTTATTGAACAACACTTTGCATCAATTGCTCTCTTAGAGGCTTTACATAATAATAACAACATACACATACAGCTGTTGTTGTGGGCCAGGCAGGTTTCTAAGCATCTTATATACATTCAGTTTTTAAAATAACTTTGTAGAGTTAAATGACACCAGAGAAGTATGAAAAGGAAAAATCAGAATATAAAAAATTCTGCCCAACCATGACCTACTTTTTGACAAATAAATGGCAAAGAACAAATAAAAGGAGGAGATAAGGTTCTATAAATTAAAAGAGGCATATTCCATAAACGATCTATAAATTCAAGAGGCATATTAACCAAATGCAATTAAAGTCTTTGATTATAATTCTTAGAAATCCAATGAAAAGAAAAGAAAGACATTTTAATGCTGACTATTAGAGGATATTAAGAAGTTATTGCTAATTTTGTTAGGAATTGTGGTAGACAGAATTTCAAAATGGCCCCTTAGATCCAACCTCTGGAGCACATGACCTTTGTAATTCCTTCGTGACTGTGGGTAAGACTGTGAATATGATGAAATGTCACTCACATAATCAGGTTATATTAGATAGCAAGATGACAAGATTTTGAAAACAAAACAGAAGGGTCCCCAGTCTGTTGATTTTGAGTTAATCTATAGAAAGACTATCCCAAGTAGGTCTGACTTAATCAGATGTAAGTCCTTGAAAGAGGGCTGAAGCCTTCCCTGAAGAAAGAGAGAACTCCTGTTGCCTTTAAAGAATTCAGCTTCCATGTTTCAAGAGGGTGTATGAGAGAGACACATGGCAAAGAAATGCAGAGGCCTCCAGGGGCTTAGAGGAGTTGTGGCTGAAAGCCGGGAAGAAAGCGGTAACCTATATCCTACAACTACACGTAATTGTTCCAGCACCATGAGAGAGCTTGGAAGAGGAGCCTCAGCTCTAGAAAGATGGGTGGTCTGGCCAGTGTCACATCTACACTGCACTCCCTGTAAGACCCTGAGCAGAGGACTTAATTAAACTGGGCCGTGACTCCCAACTCATGGGAACTGGGTGGTAACAAGCATATGTGGTTAAACTTCTGAGTGTGTGGTAATTTGTTATATACCAAACAAAAACAAATGCAGGAGTTGCAGTGATATTGTGATTGTGTTATAGCAAAAGGCGTCTTAAGCTATAAGATTCACATACAGAAGTATTTATATATTAAATGGTATGAGATCTAGTCACTATTTTAATATAATCTAGCTTGGGGATGGGGACGTGATGATAGTGGAGATATAGATGGAAAATATTGATGTGGAGATGGAAATATTGTACCTTTCAAACAGGTACAAGGAGATTTATTATATAATTCACTCTACTTTCATTTATATTTATATAATACAAATTTAAGTATATAATAAAATAAAACCTTATTAAGTAGGTGTCATTATTACCTCCAATTTACTGATGAAGAAATTGAGGAGTATAGAGATTGTTTAACTCTATGTACTGCTACAACATATAAATATCAGAACTGAAATTCTAATCCTGCTAGCTTAGTTCTACAGCCTATGTTCTTTTTTTTCTTTTTTAATTTTTGTACTTTAAGTTCTGGGATACATGTGCAGAAAGTGCAGGTTTGTTACATAGGAATACACGTGTCATGGTGGTATGCTGCATCTATCCCCCCATCATCTACATTAGGTATTTCTCCTAATGTTAGCCTTTCCTAATCCCCCCACCCCCTCCTATCTTCCCATAACCCCCTTACCCCACAACAGGCTCCGGTGTGTGATGTTCCCCTTCCTGTGTCCATGTGTTCTCATTGTTCAGCACCCACTTATGAGTGCCACTGCACTATACTGCCTCCACACTGTATTAGTGTATTAGTCAGAGTTCTTCTCAGCCACAACCAATGGTGTGTGTGTGTGTGTATGTATGAGAGAGAGAGATAGAGAGAGAGAGAGATTTAAGGTAGTGGCTCATGTAATTGTGGGGGCAGGCAAGTCCAAAATGTATAAAACAGGCCCTCAGGTTAAAAACTTGATATTATATCTTCAGTCTGAAAGGAAAAATTGATATTATATCTTCAGTCTGAAGGCAGTCTGGAGGCCAAAATCCCTCTTCCTTTGGGGACCTTAGTAGTTTTTCTAAGACTGAGCTGATTGGATAAGACCAGCCCACATTATGGAAGATAATCCATTTCATTCAAAATCTACAAATGTAAAATCCAGTTTCATCTAAAACATATCTTCCCAGTGACATCTAGGCTGGTATTTCACAAACCGTCTGGGTATATGGCCTAGCCAAGTTGGCACACAAAATTAATCATCACAGTTTTTTCAATCTACATGAAACATTCTATGATATAGTTATTATTATAATATCCCCATTTGAAAATTAAAAAACTGATGTTTAATTTGCCTAAATTCATGTAACCAGTTGGCTGAAATCTTTTGATTCAAACATAGGTCTAACCCAAGCCCACACTCTTCCCACTACAGCCCACAGCCATTACACGCCACACCTGTCATTGGATGCTTGATAAATACGTGGCAAGTTAGGTATGGCAGGAAATCCACTATCATCCTGTTGTTGACTCACTAGGAAAAACCCTATTTTCCTCCTTCTAGAAATCACCATTACCCTCCTTCCTTTCAACCATTTGAGATGCAGCAGTGGCACTGAGGAAGAGGATGTCCTTTTCAGTCCCATACCTTCTTCACCATTGCTGTTGGCTTAGTGTGTAACATGAGTGAATGCAGGAAGAGGGAAGTCAAAACTGCATTTATCCCTAAGAGTAGCACATAACAAACAAAAAGAGCATACCTGATAGACTGCTGATATTTACATTCGGAGAGAAATCCATTTTTTTATCTGTACTCAGTGCAAAGAAAAGATATGAGAAACATTTAAAAATTAAAAGCAATCTAGATACATGAGAATAAAGTACCAGCACGAAATGAAGGCATACTAATAAAAATTGTGAGTTTCTCTTCTCCTATGCAGCCATTCCTCTTCTTCCCCAGATTTAACTACTTTTCACCATATCTGTTTTTACTCCTTTAAGTGCAAATCACAATTCTAAATAATATGTGCGATCTTAGACTTCATATAAGATGTTACATTTTTGTATATTATTTTCTTTTTTTCATGGTCTTTTAAACTGATGTTCTTAACAGGCATGAGCTCCAGCACCTAGTCTTGATCTTATTTGTCCTTGTTGCAGGCCAAAAAAAATCTTTTGACCATATCATCAAGTTCCTTCAGCTTCCTAGTTGCATTATTTATAGTTTGTTTTCATATGGACAGAATTCATTGCTGGCTAGGAACACAGAACAGTTGTTAATCTGAAAAGTCTTTTAATTGTATTCTTGGGCTAGCTTCATTCTACCTAAAATTAGCCACCCACCTCCCATGTTCTTTTTTGCTGTTGTTTTTCCGAAAGAATGACTAGGAAAAAATATTTACTTGATTCTGCTTGCTTTAAATCTAAGTTAAAATCAAGACTGCTAATAACTTTGAAGGCATTGGTACAGTAGTGTGTTTTTAGGTACATTTAAAAATCTGACGCTGGCTGGGAGTGGTGGCTCAAGCCTGTAATCCCAGCACTTTGGGAGTCCTAGGCAGGTAGATCACCTGAGGTCATGAGTTCGAGACCAGCCAAACAAACATGCAGAAACCCTGTCTCTACTAAAAATACAAAATTAGCCAGCATGGTGGCACATGCCTGTAAGCCTCCTACTCAGGAGGCTGAGGCAGGAGAATCGCTTGAACCCTGGAAGCAGAGGTTTCGGTGAGCTGAAATAGCATCATTGCACTCCAGCCTGGGCAACAAGAATGAAACCCTGTCTCAAAAAATAATAATAATAATAAAACTGATGCTAATTTGCTTTGGGGAAAACTATTTATGTAAAACCTTCCTTTAGGATTATGTTTTTACTCATAGTGTTCTGAAATTACCTATCTATCATCTGTCTATTTATCTATATCATCTCTTTCTATGTATCATCTATTTTGGTGTCCTGTTCTGAACTTAGTAGGTTCTTATAAGCTGAAAACTCCGTTTTTTGGTTTCCCTTTTACCCTTGAGAAATGGTTTACATTACTTTTTCATTATTTTATGTCTACTTTTTTTTTCCCACTTATTTTCTTCTTCTGGAAGCTCGTTAAAAGAGCTATTGACCTTCCTGGATAAACAGGTGAATTTTGGTTTTCTGTCTCAGATAGCCTCTTATATTTATTTACGGGTTTTTTTCCTGACATTTTGCTCTATGTTCTGGGATGTTTGGTTAGCTACCATGACTTTTCAGGAGAAACGGCACAAGAAATAGCCAGGCTACATAGACCTATACACTACTCCCCTCTCTCACTCCAGAACCAAAACAAAGGGGTATACATCTTATTGCACCAACCACCAGTCCATAAATCAGGAGCTCTAGCTAGCTCTATCTATATATCTCACTGTTTTAGAGAGTTCTTTGATTTTATTTTATTTTATTTTATTTATTTATTTATTTTGCTTGATATAGGAGCAAAAGTCACTGAGTAAATGGACCAACAGATTGGCAAAGCACCAGTCTAAAAGAGCATGGCTTAGAAAGTCTTTCACTTAATTACTTTGCTTCAATTTTTTTTGGTTTCAAAGTTTATTTTATTTTTAAATTTAATTGCCAATAAGCATTGCATGTATTCAAGAATTACCTCGTTTTAGACCTTCATTTACCCTCTGACTCTCCTCTCTGAAATGGATCCCTGACTGAGCTTAGCCATGATGAACAGCTTCTGTCTACACTGCAGCTGTCTTTTACGCTTTAACTAAGGTTCTCTCCAATAGCATTATTCTATCCAGCTTTCATTTTCTTTAAAATTTTCTCCCCTTTCCATTCTATGTGCTTTGATTAATTTATTCTATTTTGTTATCATTTCTTGTTCTACGGATAGATTCTTGGGAGAGAGGAGATATAAATATTCATGGTCAATACTCCATTTTGACTGGAAGACATGGAAAATTTTAAACGGGTCAAAATCCAAGGACAAATTTTATAGAAACACATATATTGTAATTGTTACTAATTTATTAGAATAAAAAATATGGCTAGAAAAAATATTTTTCCGACTAGTAATTCATCAGCATGTCAAATTTTATTGATTTCTTCCCAACAGCATTTCTCTTTAAAAAAAAAAAAAAAACTGCATCTTTTATGTCATTTTACCATTTATACTTTGTTGAAGAGAAACTGATTTACAAGAGAGCATGTTGGCTGATAAAGATCATACTCAGTGTCTAACAAGCAACTATCTACTCCTGAATTTTAGGAGGATTTTTAAAGCCATAATAATTAGAACAGCTAATTCAGCTTATTAGAATTGCTGGTTAACAGAAAGCAATACTTACTTAGATAGATTCATAAGGACTAAAAAATAATCGTTTAACATTGAATGTTAAATAAGTGAAAACTTTCCGATTGTTAGTAATTGATTTCAATAAAGCACTGAACACATTTGAAGTGTATGATTGATATTCAGAGAAAAAATACATTAAGTAGAATACATATTTGGTCTGAGAAAAGTCTGACATTTTCCCTTGTTGTATTAGGAAAAACACAAAATTGCCCAATTGCCCAATACAAAAATACTTCTTACTAAGAAGTAAAGAATCTTCTACCCTAAAGAAGTTGCTTTAGGACTCACCTATTTTTGGAAATCTCATCTCAAAAGCCCCTAAAATCTATTTCCTGTCATGTTATATGTAAGCCACTACTCATTTTAGCTCACAGGCTTAAAAGCAAAACAAAAAATCAAAGAAACTATAAATTTCTTTGGTTGTTCAAATAGTATAGCTACAGCGTACACATATAAATACCACTTCAGGAAGAAAAAAGTCTGGAAGTCTACCTAAAATGGTTTTCAAAGGGGTCTTAGAAAAACTGTTTAAATAGTGACCTCACAAAGCGATACCAATAAGCATATACTCTTTTAGAAAAAAAAATTACTAAATTTTTATTATAAGATAATAAAGTCAACCTCTGTTGGGGGTTCTTTATAAGAAAAGAGGCAGAATAAATACTAATTTTGTATTTAAGCACTTAATTTTTTTAATGTAATGTAATTTTATAATATGACATATACCGCTGGTTCGTTTAATTTACCAATTTTGGGCTATAATGTATACCTTATCTTGGCATTAAGAGGAATGAAGGATCAATGTTTATCTTCTGAAAATGTTCAAAGAAATAAAAATTCATTACTCACGCCAGAACAGGTCAGTCACTGTCACAATGAAAATAAGGATCCCAACGCATCCAAATATGAGCAGAAGACAGTAACATTGTGGATACAGGGAGAAATCTGAAATGTTGAATTTTATTTCATGAATTTTAAAATTCTCGTGATTTTTTCACTTTATAAACATTTTTCTGTTTCATTTTTATTACAGAGATGATTCATATTCATTTTGGATATGTCATTAGAATTTATGATGACATGAAAATTTAAAAATAAAAAAGTCGATAATCCCAAACCAAGGAGATACTACTATTATTTAATGTTTTGAATTGTACTGAGATGGCTTTGTTAATTATTTGGTGGTGCTTTTGAAGACCTAAAATTGATGTCTTGAATTCCATATATATTATAGATACAAATAAATATGATATATAGTTATATAAATTATATATATTTATTACAACATATTATATATAAAATATAAATATATGCACTGTAAATGTATATAATACATTATTTTATATGTGTAAATTATATAGAAAGAATAATATATAGAATATACATATCTATGTCAGGCACAATGATGTGTTTTATTCAATTTAGTGACTCACTGTAAGAAATAAAAGAGGGAAAGAAATATTTATTAAAGTTCTAGTATATACCAGTCACTGTACTGGGTATATTCACATTTTATTTCACCTTATACATGTAACACATTATATTTTTCTGGATTTGGCTTTCTAGACAGGAATCAGTTTCAGCCTAGGCAGTGTTAGATCTCCAATAAATGATACTTATAAGGAATCTATGCTATAGTATTTCATTGCATTAGAGTTGACAAGAATAGTTTCCTTACAGTTGTAACCTCTAGAGAGGGTAAACAGGAATATATATATATATATATATATATATATATATATATATATACACACATACATATATATATAATCCTTTTCCAATTTTATCTACTTTCTTCTACATATTAGCACTTTTGAATAAATTAGATGTATACACTTTTTTCACAAAATTATGACAGGTTCCTTTTACATGCAGACATCATATGATTAGTATCTCAATCTAGAATCATTCTAGTCAATTTGCCAGGCTAGTGGTCAAAGAGAAAGCAAAGTAATTTGAGATACTCTGATAATTATTCCCTAGTTTTTGTTATTTTATCTATAAGCAAGCCCTTAATTTCATCATCTTGGTTGTACATTTCACAAAAAAATGCATCTTCTAAGTCATAATAAAAGTGCTGTTTTTCATATCTAATTACCGTGTGGATGCCTTACGTCAATAGGTTTTATGGATTTACTGCATCTGATTAGCTCTACAGCATATACTTAGAGAATTTACTATATGTAGTATACCTTTGGAAATTTACCACTCAATTGTCTGTATTACTAAGTCCAAAATAGTTTTCTTTTTTTTAACCTACCTGTAGATATTTCTACTGTTCAAGGAAATATGGAAAGACTTCTACTTAACTGAAAATCATCAAAATACATTTCTGTAATTTTATGAGGAAATACCAATCATAGGTATATGGATCTGCAGTTAACTGGTAATAAAGAACAAGTGCTCATTCCATACATGCCAGGGAGGGAGACTTTAAAGTTCTTGCCAAATAAGATTTATAAAAAACCTAACAATAGATCAAAACTTAATATTTTTATGTAAGCCATGATTTACATACTGTATCAAGCCCGTGAACAGAGAGCTGAGTACCTGACGCGCAGTATGCTGGCCTGTCCTAGCAATGCTTGGCTAGATGCCATTGGCTTACAAGGGGCTATATAAAGAAATTGACCTTCAAAATCTTTTAATGCTACTATTGCAAGAACAATAATTGTCTTATTTTATGTTCTTCATGAGAACTCAGGAAAATATTTTTTTTCTGAATTAGGATCAAGATGAGTTATACCTATCTTAAGAAATAGGTGTCACTTTATCTCATACACAATGTGAATTGAACAACTTGTCAGGCTTCCCTTATCTCAATCATAACAAGGAAGCTTAGAAGCAAATGTATGGCAAGAACAAACATGCCTACAGTAATCTTTCTGGCCCAATTTATTTTCCCACCCCTATCCTTCATTTATAATTTAAACAGATATTATCTTATATTTTATGTATCAATACTCAGATTTTAAGTACATACTCGTGTATTAAGAAGTAGTTTATAGATTAAAAATAGTAAATTTAGTTTAACATCCACATAAAAGCATCATTAGGTAGATTTTTCTTATTATAAATCAATGTACTGAGATTTAAGAAGACTAAATGCTTCTTCCCAGAGCTCTACATTTAGCCTGTGGGCTATAGGGTCTGACTCAATTTGTTTTTTGTTTTTTTTTTGTGATGGAGTCTCACCCTGTCACCCAGGTTGGTGTGCAGTGGCATGATCTCAGCTCACTGCAACCTCCACTCCCTGGTTCAAGTGATTCTCCTGCTCAGCCTCCCACGTAGCTGGTATTACAGGTACGTGCCGTGTCACACAGCTAGTTTTTTGTATTTTTAGTAGAGACAGGGTTCCACCATATTGGCCAGACTGGTCTCGAACTCCTGACCTCAGATGATCCGCCTGCCTCAGCCTCCCAAAGTGCTGGGATTACAAGAATAGCCACTGCGCCTGGCCTGACTCAGTCAATTTAATACCATTGGTACTAGCTTTTGCTGCATCATGGAAGTAAGTTACTACTGAAAAGCAAACATTTGTTTCATGATATCAAAACACAAAAAGATCCTGAGTCTTCAGATAATGACAAAAGCATCATTTTGGGGGGTAAGGGGGTTTGCATTTGCTAGATATAAAATGAGACAGTACACCAGAATGTTTGATACATATGGCAGAGCTGCCACTGTGGCTGGTAATTCTGAATTTCTAGCCTATGTCATCTTAACTTAGGTCTTGACTATTTCAACAAGATTGTTTTCAAAATTCCTTTTAGACAAATCGAATTCAGGCACCAGCATGTTGTTTACCAAGCTTGTCTATAGAACCTGTAACAGACCTTAAAAAACAAAAACCAACCACACAGAGCAGCCCTAAGGAGCAAAGATTAACGTTTTTCTTTTCTCCTCTTCTCTCATTCCCAGTAGATTGTTCTACCAATCCTACAGAGCTTTTATGAGGATTAAAACTAATATATATATGCTTTTTTAAGCTGTAAAGCACTACAGGACCACTGTTACTCCCACCACCACTAGATCTTGCCTTCCAACTGTAATAGGCAACTTCACAAAACACGTTTTCGTAGATACCATACCAAGATAGGTGTTTCCATAAACTTTAAGTTTTGTAGGAGGAAGTTTCTGTAAAAGCGCAACTTTTCAGCCTTTTCTTTGAAAGTTACACTCTTTCTTATGCTACAACACACAGGATTATACATCATCATATTAGCATCTCTCTTACCTCATGGCCCTGAAAATGCTGCGTTGTTATTGTTGATGCTTTCATGAATCTAAATAATCTATCTCAGACAATTTATGACCATTTTGATATTTCTTCTTATAATCAGTTTTAAGATATTAAAAATATTCAAAGATAATTCTCTTCCTAGAAGAATAATGCAATTTTAAACTAAATGGGGGAATGGGGGACAATATTCCTACCTTTAGATTTCTGCTTGGATTTACAACCATTCTTGAAATTCAGCATTATATACCCATCTTCATTCTCCATCTCTTCAAATGTTTAATATATTATTATCCAGAAGATAGCACAAAGAAAATGGAAACTAATCTCAACCTTGGTATGTCTCTTAAGCACAAGATACCAAAGAAACTAAAAGGAAGACCAAAAATAGTCAAAATTTATTCAGACTCAGATGTCTAAAACCACACAGGATGTGTTGGTAAATGAAAATGGACATAAGCTTGTTAATATTTGGCTATAATTCTGTGGATTTCAAGATAAAGGTAGCTAGTCCTTTCTACTGTTTCCAACAAATGGACTTGTGTGTACCTGCCACTTGTATGCGGTATATTAGAAACTTAATGGTGAACAAGATAGACGTACTTCCTTCCTTCATATCTTTTTTCATCAAGTAAGAGAAAAAATAAAATAAACTAAATAATCTCTAACAAAACAAAACAAATCTCTAGGTAAATAAAAATTCAAATTTTAAATTAAAAAAAGTTAAAATAGTCATTTTGCTATTTGGGACATATTTGATTCGTAGGGTCCAAATAACAATGGTTGGATGGGACAAAATGGTAAAATAAATGATCAGCAAGTCTCAAGTTAGTGAAAATAAGAATCGCTTTAAAAGAATTTAACTTTTTTAACTTTTTTGTTTGTTTGTTTGTTTGTTTGTTTGTTTTTCAGAAAATGCCTGACAGATTTTCCTTCAGTAGGTGTGACGGTTTATTTTGTGTCAACTTGGCTGAGCCGCAGACTCCAGATACTTGATCAAACATCATTGTGTTTATTTCTGTGAGGGTGTTTTTGGAAGGGTTTCATATTTAAATTGGTGGCCTTTGAGTAAAGCAGATTTGCCTTGCTGTAATGTGATTGGGCCTCACTGAGTCAATTGGAGGCTTGAATAGAGCAGAAAGACTTATCTTCCCTGAGTGAGAAAGAATTCTCCAGCAATGGCCTTCAGACTTTATCTGCGACATTGGCTTTTCCTGATTCTACAGACAATAAATAGACTTTGCACTTGAATTGAAACATGAGCCTTCCTAGGTACCCAGTATGTCCATGCCCACTTGCAGAATTTTGACTTACCAGCCTCCATAATCACATTCCTTATTGTGTGTGTGTGTGTATATATATATATATATATATTTTTTTTTTTACTTAACTCACACACACACACACACACACACACACACATACACACACACACTAATGGTTCTGTTTCTGCTACATGGCCACTCAATATCAATTCATTGATTAAACACCAGAGTATCTGGGGAAAGTGACTATTTCCCACAGCACATGTGTCCACCTGGTTATTGAGTCTCCTCCTCAACACTGGATGCCACTTGTGAGCATGTACATGGGAATAAATATTTACACACTCTGTGGCCTTTCTGCGTGATCACTGTATGTACCTCTCAGCTTCTCATTAATTTTTGTATTTTCTTCTTTTTGAGTTTCTGATAAGGTATCTCACCTATTAATTTCTGACAAGACAATTTAGATTACTTCTCTGAGTGCTTATCCTTCCTGTCAGGTGAACAACCAGACATATTACCCAAACTTCAGTTCATTGGGAAGATTTACCTTCACTTCTGTCTTTCACAGTCTTCTTCTGAATGGGATTATAGTATGGCATCTATTTCCAGTTGCCATCTTTTACATATCCGTTTCTAAACCTCAGTATAAGATCATACAGAACGCTTTTCCCCATCCCCCAACGCAGACCATAGGTAGGTTTGAGGTGGAGATAGCAAAGGAATGTGAACATGTGCCATCGGAGTCTGAGTCATCTGCTTATGCAATTTACTGAGCTTCTTTGGAACTGCTCAGGCCTGGACTCCAAAATGCCATAATTATATTTATGATAAAATGCTTCTGTGCAGTTGTAAACTTAGGGTTCATTGGGTCAAAGTGGTCAAGTTAGATCAATTTCATGCTAGTGGACATAATATCTTATAAAAATATGTAGAACGTTTACTGCTTACATTTCACCAGGGATAGTTAGCATGATTGCATCAATGTAATGAATCTATTATATGCAACCAGTTCTGATGTATATCATGTTGGGAGCTATATCAAGATGATTTAGTTCTCTCTGGCCATCTTATAACTGAGATCAGGAATGCTGACATACACCTAGGCAAGGCAGCAAAGAAATATTTGTTATTTTTGTTTGTAAATACAAGCCAGGAACCATCACAGGTTCTCAGCATTTTCCCAGTATATAGTCATTCAAGAAAATGACTGAAGTTTCCTCTGGTTTAGGTGTTGGGGAATAAATGTCATAATTATACCTGTGACCATGTTACAATGTCCTTCACCAAGAGAGCCAACCTATCTCCTTTCCAGTTGAGTGGTTCCTGGTCTGGGAAAAGCTTTGCCTACTAACTGCATTGAAGTCTGGGGATTGGGTAAGACACAATGAGTCTCCTCTCTGAGAATATGTGTTAAGTTTCCAGCCAACATGCGTGGATTTTTCCTTTGCATATCAGCAGCTCCTTAGTGAAATATCCTTTCTTTTTGCTTTTTCTTTTTGTTTTTTTTATTTCCCAAAACTTCAAAGTAAGCTAATCACTGTCACAGATTTCTGTGGATGAAAACTCTGACTTATTCCCTCTGGCGTATTGTGTCAAATTCAACCCCTTGACCTCTAGAATCAAATTATTACCAGTGATATCAGAAAGCCTGATTTCCACTATAGCATCTTCCACTACATCTGTAATCAACAGAGAACAGCTGCCACAACAGACGATCACCAGTTTCTCTCACCACAGCATTCTCCACCCCTTAACCTTCCAAAAAATCAACTCACAAAACTGGCCTTGAGGAGAGGAAATCAAAGCTTAGAGGAGGCTGTAGAAAGGAGATCAATGACTGCCTAGCCTCCTCACTGTATAAAAGGTGGTGACCTTGAAACTGCTCCCCCACGCCCATGCTGAACTCCAGACCCCTCAGTTCTACCCCAGGGCCATCAAGTAGCTTCAGAAACTTCTCTTTTCTTTACCTTCTATGCCTGGGCTAATTCTCTCCTTATGAGTCTAATTCTCTCAGTATGTGTCTAACAGATTTGGTGGGATTGAATGCTGAAGTATTTTAGAGTATCAAAACTTGAAGATGTCTAAAATTTACATCTTAATGTTTTTCCCAAAATATAGATTTATCCAGTGTTTCCTACATAATTAGTAATGAAATTCTGTCAGTTTAACCCCCTGCACATTTCCCTAGTAAATTCATTACTTCCCATTTTAAAAGCCACCATCTTGGCTCAACCACCATGTGGGCTGACACTATTCCTTCATGGCATTTAGTCTCCTTTTGCCCTCTCCCCTTGTCCCATGAAAAACAAAAGAGTATTTTTAAGGGTTGAGATCCTTAATAAATGTGATGCCCAAAAAATCCAAAATAGACATAGAAAATGTGCATCTTTTACAAAATTCATATTCTCGTGTATTAATTGGTTAATAAAAGGAAATCTATTCTCTACAGAAATGTTACAACTTTACACTTCTGAAATTCAGAATTTCCAAGACCTATATGAGATTATTATTTTAGTTTTATATAGGAGTTTTTTTAAAAAATTGAGACAGGGTCTTGTTCTGTTGCCCAGGCTGGATGCAGTGGTGTGATCATAACTCACTGTAACCTTAAGCTCCTGGGCTCAAGTGATTGTAGACGCATTTTCAATCTGATAGGCTGTTGTATTGTTTCACTTTATTTTTTATTTTATTTCTGAGACAGAGTCTTACTCTGTCACCCAGGCTAAGGGCAGTGGTGTGATCTCAGCTCACTGCAATCCCTGCTGCTGGGTTCAAGCGATTCTCTGATTGCCGCCTCCGGAGTAGCTGGGATTACAGGCACCTGCCACCATGCCCAGCTAATTTTTGTATTTTTAGTAGACATGGGGTTTCACCATCTTGGTCAGGCTGAACTTGAACTCCTGACCTCGTAATCCACCTGCCTCAGCCTCCCCAAGGATTACAGGTGTGAGCCATCACGCTCAGCCTGTTTCAGTTTAGATTTCTTGAATTTTCATTGCTTTTAGACAACTTTGGATACATTAACTATGTATGCCTTTTATGAGTTAACTATTTGTGTCTTTGTTCATTTTCTGTTACTAACGTATTTATGACTATTCTGCCATATATTTTCACTCATATATTAATTCATTCAATAAGACTTTTTGAATATGTTATGCTGCAGGCACTGTTCTAACTACTGAGAAGACATCAACAAGTAAAACAGAAAAACACCTCTGATTTCATAGCTTCATGGAGCTTTCATTCCAGTGGCAGAGACACATTACTCACTGCCCAGGATTTATATATGTTTTAAATGTGGGTTACTTTTATTGCCTTATGAATCTCAGTTAGTGGGGCTATAGTGTAACCATAGTCCATTTAGAGCTTTCATCTACATCCAAAACAGACCTTTCTAAGAACCAACTCAACTTTATTCCTTGTTTATCAGCAGGTTATAGGAAATATCTTAAACAGCCATATAGACATGAGCCAAGGGAGAGGTGCCAGTGAGACAGCTGGGTAGTATTATTTCTGAAGCTTGCCTGTCGTCTCTGGTTGACATAGGGGTCTTCAGCTTGTCTTTTCATTGAGAATCTGCCTGTGCTGATTCTGGATATACCAATTCATCTTATAATGAATTGCTGCTGGGAGTGCTTGAACTTATTTGGTGAGTCTTACAGGTTTCTTTTCCTTTCTTTCTTTCTTTCTTTTTTTTTTTTTTGAGATGGAGTCTCGCTCTGTCGCCAGGTTGGAGTGCCATGGTGGGATCTTGGCTCACTGCAACCTCTGCCTCCCAGTTCAAGTGATTCTCCTGCCTCAGCCTCCCTAGGAGCTGGGATTACATTCACCTGCTACCAAGCCCATCTATTTTTGTATTTTTAGTAAAGATGAGGTTTCACCATGTTGGTCAAGCTAGTCTTGAACATCTGATGTCAAGTGATCTGCCTCCCTCAGCCTCCCAAAGTGCTGGGATTACAGGCGTGAGCCACCGTGCCTGGCTGGGTTTCATTTTGTTAATGGCAGTTCAGACCATATGTATGCCTGATGACTCAATTCCTACAAGGTCCAGTAGCATGCCAGGAGCTATTTCACAAAAGCTCTATAAATGCTTAGGTATAATTGATCTGGTCTTGCTCTAGGGCTCAAGAGATCAGTAGAAATTGTTTCACCTGTTAGGACTTGGCCATAAATTCCACAGAGTTTTTTCTCACCATTGATACCTCTGGTGTCATAGTGTGTGATAAGTTGCATGGCTCCAGTCGTAGAGATTCTCCCACTGCAGCAGATTTGTGGAGGAATCCACACTTACTCTCTGAGCCATGATAGGAGCCTTGCAGCCCTGTATATCCCCTAATATATACGTCAGAATTTTATTCCCAGGTATGAACAATGCTTCCTCAGTATCCAGTGAGTCCTACCAGACATTGTGTCCTCTACTTTTTTAAAGAGATGCCCTAGCATGCAAGAAGCCCATGTAAGCCTAAAAATTCACCTGCCTATGGCCCCCAGTGTTCTTTCAGCTGTCGTCCATCCACCCACTCCCCTCAGACCTCAGCATTGGCTGGAACCTAACCCGGGTCATGACATTTAGCATAGTCATGGACCTAACACCAAGCTAATAAAACAATTACTTAGAACTCATCATCAATTTGTGATGATTTTTAGTGCATTTTGCTGTTATCCACGCATGAAATTATTAACATTTGTTACATCTGTATAGTGAAAATAATAAATAATGCTGTACTACTGCACATTAATTTCCAACTCTGTGTTCAATGATGTGACCTGGGTCCCTTGAAATCAGCAATGGTGGGAATAATCACATCACAGAAATCAGCTGGTGTCACAAACCAGGGCTTGTTGCGTTTGTGTTTTTCTCTGTGCCACCAGTTGTTAAAGGAAAACACAGAAGTAGAAGCACCTTTTTGCTCTCTGTATTATTTCTGTGAACATTGAGCTTTATCTGACATTGCTTTAGCTCTGTGGGTGAGCAATCCCAGCTGCTATTGCAATTCAACCCTTAGTACCATAATGGGGTCTGTAAGGCTGGTTGCCTTGCGGGGAGTTTGGACACGCCCATCTCCCTCCCCACTTGAAAATTACGTTATCAGAATATGCCCATCATCTAGCTCCGCCTTGGAAATCCCCTCTGCACTCGGCACCTAGCCCACCTTGGTATCCCCTTTGCACTCGGCACCTAGCATGCCTTGGAAATCCCCTCTGCACTTGGCACCTAGCACGCCTTGGAAATCCCCTCTGCACTCGGCACCTAGCACGCCTTGGAAATCCTCTCTGCACTCAGCACTTAGCCCGCTCACCAGAAATCCCACCTACCTACCAATAGCAGCTCACCCCATCCACATCCTGTTTCTCCAAATCCAATTGAACGCCTTCACTGCCTATAAAACCCCACTCCTAAGAGGAGTCAGGCGTGACTTACCTGGCTCCTCTCCCTGGGACCACAGAACCTCGCCTGGGAGCTGAATAAATTGGCATCTAATTTTCCTGTGCTAGCCTCAGTTTCCTCGTTTTTAACTTGGCAATAAACCTACACAGAATAAACTTTACAGGGCCCACCTTGTTTCATAGTGGAGCTCTAACACTTGGCCTTTTCTACTTTAAACATTGTCATTCCCAATACTTCTCTGAATTCACTTCTGTGGGAACATCTCCTACTGTAATCTTTGGCATGCAGAGGAGAGTCATGCTGAGCTTCTCAGTGATGTTTATGAAGGACTTAAGTCCTTTTGCCAGTGCCTTCCTTATGGTGCCGATTATACCATCCCATAGAACAGAGTCCACTGGGGGATTTCCTGTCCCTATATAGTTTATCCACTATAGCATGCCCACTTCTCTAAGCATTTTTATCTTTTCTTCAGGTACCTGCCATGGGAAATCTGGAAAGTTACTCTACATAACATGAGCCATTGCTTTGTCCAATCTTCTTGGAGTTATTTCAGCAGTGTATCAGCACTGTTCACAGCATTTATCCAAGTTATGAAATTCTATATTGCAACTGAATCCCCAATGTTGATAAAATCTCCCTTATCTAGCTTTATGTTTCTCTTATGATCTAGCCACTCTCAGAATCCAGTTCCATTGTATACACTCCAAGTTGTTGTTATTATATATTAATTAGGTCCAAATTCATTCTTAGTATAGCCTTTTATCTTCCTTATAAGCTTAACACATAACCTTATTATTGGCCTATGACCAATAACTAAGAAAGGAAAGGAAGGGAGAATTGCAAGAAGGGCGTGAAGGACTCAATATTTTCTCTAAGGAAGGAGAAAGGCATGACCTCAACAAGGGAGAATATGTAACTCTGTCAGAATTAGAGAGTACAACATTTAGAAGAGTCTACATTTTTTTAATTTTTGAGAAAAAAATTTTGAGAAGGCACTTACAAATGACAGAAAGTATTTTTAATACATTTATCTAAAAACGAAATTTTTCTATATTATTTTATAACCCATTTTACTTTTTTATATGCATATTTTATGTGTATCTATATTTATATATATATTTGCATATATATACAAATCACCATAAGAAAACAAATCCGTAAAATAGGCAAAATATTTAAATAGGTCATTGAAAAAAGATGTATGAGTTGCCAATATGCACATGAGTAAATGCTCAATATAACATCAGAGATGTACAAGTTAAAATCACATTTAGATTCTACTATACATGTATGGTTAAATTTAAATGGTTAAATTTAAAAAGATTGGGCATATCTAATGTTGCTATTGTGGAGCAAATAGAACCATTCAATGTTAATGTTGGGAATGGCACAACTTTTTGGAAAAATGTATGCTTATAAAATAAAACATATATTTTCTATCTAATTTAGCAGTTTCACCTCTGCATATTTCTTCAAAGGATTAAAAAATGTGTCAATAGAAAGACTTTTGCATAAAGGTTTATTTTGACCTTACTTATGATATTCATGAAGTGGAAAAAGCTCAATGTAGTAGTGGGTACATTTTATTATAAAATGGATAAAAGTTATTATATGTCTATACAATGAAATACTACTCAGTAATAAAAACTAATTAACTGCTGATCTGTGCAGCAACATGGTTAAAACTCAAAAACATTGTGCTCAGCGAAAAACATCAGACTTACCAGAATTGCCAATTGTGTCATTCTATTTACAGAAATGTCTAAAACCAGCAAAGCTTCCTAGTTGGCTGCTGCCTAGTTTCTGGGGTTAGAATGAACTGCAAAGCAACAGCAGAGAACATTTTGCCGTGTAGAAAATGTTTTCTATCTTGACTGTTTGCCTTTTTGGAACAAAACTAAATTTCACTTAACTAGAACTGTGTAATCTCTATATTTTTCTGTACATGCATTTCTAATAGTTCTTTGGATACAATCTTTTGTTAACAACAAAGGCAGAATATATTTATTTCCTCAAAAATTTTCTTTTTTCTGTCCAAAAATGAAAAGAGCAATTTTGTTATCTGTCCTTTCCTTCTGCAGTTTACTTTGCATCATCTTTCTGAGAGCTGACGAAAGTGACCAGAGGTATGTGTGAGGGCACCCAGAAGTAATTAAACCTCTTCACATTTTCTTTCTTTTAATTCCTTCGTACTGCAGTTTCTTCTCTATTCTCATTTCCTTTTCCCCTTAAAGTTTCTCTCTCAGAACAAATGCAGTGTTCATTCTAAAGCTGCTGTGGGACGCTGGCTGCTTCTCCTCATTTCCTCCCTATTTGTTAAGGGGGAATGCAAAATCACTGGAAAACTGATTCGAGCAGATCTGAAAAAAAATAAAGTTGTGGCCTCGTAACTTAGCAAAAGCGTAGTAGCCTCATCTTGTATGTTAATGATAGCATTCTGGGCACTTTGTTACTTCTGTTTTCTTTTTCTCCCTGTGTATGCTTGTGTGTATGTGTTCCCACACCTATATGTGTGACTGTGCAAATATTTGTCTTTGAGAGAGAGAATAGTTTTTGTTTTTCTTTCAGTAGCCAAAGTTTAAAGCATTGCTTTTTCTTTGATTCTATCGCTTTTAAGGTGATCTTTCTTAACACAAGATAATAAAGCAGTAGTGTCCTAAAGAATGCTGTTTAAATATTAATCAGCATCAGCCTCTCCTACAGCTTTGGATGGATACCAGTTATGAGCCGCTAGTGGATGAATCAGAAAACAACCACTTGAGTAATTTTGTGTTCTGTTGTTCAGATGAGAATCCCCGATGAGAAAGAAAATATGTGTTTGTTCTTCAACTTTGAATTTTTATTTCACCAACTTCCTTCCTCTTTGGCAAGCCTTTTTGATCAAGAAGACAACTGTGATTAACAATAGTATGAGTAATAGTCACATGATTACTTCTAGATTGGGAAATGCTGCTTAAACTTTCAGTTACTCTTTAAAAGTGGTGTAACTCTAGTTTGCAGCTGTGCTGTATAAACAAGAGTAACATTTTTATATTAAATAAAGTTGTAGCTTTTAAGAGAGGTTCTGGAAGATATGACACAAAGCTGCTAGCAGCAAATCAAGAAACTGATTAAAAGAAGAAAGGTAAGAACATTTCTGGTTGTTCAGAATGACTGTTATTTATTGAAATTGTGATGCGTAATGTTAAAGCCTTTGAAGAAAAGAATTAAATTTTGTGTTTTATTTTGGGAAACTAGAAAATTCCTTCTTATAACAACATTGAGATTTGTATGTGACTGTTTTGTCTTAATAAATTCACTTACTTTACATTGTCTGAATCATAATGGAGAAGGGTTAACCGTGACTTAAAACTGCTCAAGATTTAGTTTCACTTTCACACAATATTTTCTAAAATACTTGCAAATATGTTAAATATGATCCTGATACTCATAATTTTCAGAATGTATGCATAATACGAAAAATTTAGCCAATATTTCTAATATTTTTAAAGATTGCTTTATTGGCTGGTATATAGACCAGGCTTCAGGAGTACTTAATAGAAAAAATATATCCCTTTCCTACTCTTACTAAGTAATTGCTAGTACTCCGATATCCACGGAGATGTCTTTACCAACCCTCGGAAAGATACAGAAAAAAAAATGTTCTACAAAATACACTTACGAAACAACCTGGTAGCACTGGATTTATTAAATAGCAAGTTCAGATTATGTAAGATCCTAACTAAATCTTTGGGATTTCCACAGGGTTTATTTATATCGAAATATATGAAGGAGGAACGGCTGAAACTAAATGCATTCAATACGACAATCTATGATGTAGGGACTATGATGAGCTTTAAGCATTCCCCATTAAGCTGAATGTCAACCTGCCAGTGTAGGCTACAGTCAAAAAAATTTTTGCTGTGGTATGTTAGGATGCATACTTTATCCTTCCTCTCTTATTTTAGCCAGTTTTATAATTCTGCCTAAAGTTAAATAAAAGAGGTTTGGGGGTATAAGATCAATATTTGATGGTAGCACAAAATATCATCCTAATCAAAAGCTTTAAGAATGCCTTCCAGCCACTAGTAATACCAGTGTAATTTTCTACTTTTAATCAATTGTATACATTTATACATTGTATATAAATACATTATGTAATATAATATATCTTATTATATATGAATAAATTTTAAAAGTTACTGAGTATAATATATTCAGTATAATATTGTATATATTATATATGCATATATAATCTGAAATTATGAACATCATTTTAATAGTATTAATTTAGGGCAGCATAATACATTTAGTTTTTATATACATTTTAACAAATATTTTATTTGCTCTGCTTATCATAAAAAATCATTTATGAATTTTTCTATAGCTATTAGCTAAGAAAAATAATATTTTGATTTTAAATGCATTGGTCACTCTGTATCTTTCTTGTATTTCCTTAGAGATCAGAATCAAACGGAAAATGGCTGAGTCATTGAAACTTCTCTATGGGAAAAACAATTGCAGTCCTTAGCTGTTTAGATTACCAAATTAAATATAGAACTATTTTAGCTACACTGTTAATTAAATCAATTGTTCTTGAATTCTCTGGGGAAGTGTCCTTTTATACATAGCTTCATCAAAGATTAAGAAGGCTCAGCAACTTTGAAATTCATGTTTCAATATCAGCTTCAGAGTGGGAGATCACAATTTTTTAGTTGTTTTGAAAGGCAGCTATGCGC